TTGCAAACTAGTCTGCCGTGTCGTCTTCCAAAGGTTATCAAAGAGGCAAACGATGGTATTAAGATGGCGCACCTCTTGTGAATCTGGCTTTCACTTCACGTGAAACACTGTTAGGATTGAACTCTTAAATTTCCATACTGAGGGGAGAAAACTCATTCCAAACACCAGAATTTAATTTCGCTGAGAGAAAATGAATTAAGGTGGAGTGGAAGCTCCTCGAAGTCGCAGATGTCGGTTCAAGATGTCGGTTAAAAACATTTCTGCACTTCTACAGAAGAATGGCAACTCTATTATGATAATGCTGTGAAAATAATTTATGTCTTAAAAGCATTGATGTTCATTAAAAGGCAGAGCTTATTAATGAAGTTAAATTGCAAAATGAATGGCAGCCTTGCAGGTTGGTATGCAAACCCACTTATCTGCTGAACAAAAGGGCGAAATGATTCTATCGTGACAGTGAAATGGTTATTTTATCATCTCATCATGGAGCCATTTATCTTTTAGAGGGGAGAGTGGCCATGTGACAGACACCCCTCACACCCTGAAGAACAAAAGATTAAGGACAAGCATGCGTGCCGGTGTGGAGAAACACAGCAGAACAAATTAATTATTGATGGGATGCTTTGAAAGCCCATGGCGTCACTAGGTATCCTTTGTTACCTCTGTTGTTGTTTGCAGCTCTTAGCAGGACAGAGAGGATGGAGAGGAGGCAGGCGGGGATAAAGACCATGAACTTAGCCTCTATCCCCCCCATGAAGTGCATCCTGCCAAAGCTATTTTTTTCTTTTTTCATCTCATTTGTTCCGGGTTTAATTCATCCAGTAGACACCTCTGTGCTGCTAAAATACAGCTAATAGGTGGGTTATTCATTTTAAGCCATCAAGGACCATCATGTGCTCAGATAAAAGATGATGCATCATAATTTCAAATGTATTCATTTACTCATTGCTGTACAATGGCCAACAAGGGCAAATATGCTGCAACTGCCCAAAATACTTTTATTAAGAGAAAAGAGGAGACAATTCACCGACAATGCAAAATTAGAAAGACAAAGACAGAAGTCCAAAGCAAATGAAATTACAAAAGAATGCTGCAAATGAAAAAAAAACAAACATACTGCAAAATGAAAAGCAGAAAAAAATGCATTAACTGCAAACACACTGCGAATACATAAACAATGCACAAATGTCTAAAACAAACCTACCCAGAAGAAAGAAAATCATTACAAATCAAGTCATCACTATGGCACTGCTCCAGCCCTGAAGGGGGGACTTGGGCGAACATATTTGGAGAGAGCACTGATTTTACTGATAACCTTTTCAAAAACCTACAGAATCAGAAAAAAGTACAAGATGAGATAAGATAATCCTTTATTGATCCCCAGTGGGGAAATTCAAGTGCTGCAGCAGTAAAAGACAACAGGAAGAACATGCATGAGTATTAATAAAATTAGAATATAGAGTCTGAAGACCTGGAGTTCCTGACTCAAAAACACATCTTTATAATATGTTGACAAAACCCACAGAACTATAGTCTCTGATTTTGCTGAAACTGAATCATATTTCACGGTTAAATGACTTCTGATTGACAAATAGTTAAGTCCTGCACAGTGTAGCTTGTGTTAGCTGCATATTTCAGTTGTGATTCTATTAGCTGACGTTGCCTGAGTTTTGGTGCTTACTTCTCTTATAGGCTTTGCATCACCATGAGGAGGATAGAGGAAGGGGAGAGGGGGGAAGGTAATGATGCCCAATTTTTTCGGCTGCAATTGTTTTGGACTTACAGTATGTGGAATGTTTTTTTTTTTTTAAATTCATATCCTTTCTGCTAATCTTCAGAATTTTACCAAATGGAAGTCTTGCTGGCTGTTGCAGGGCATTTTCCCTCTCCACTAAATAAATGTCATATCTTTAGGGACGTAGAGTTTCCTGGAGTAGCCGTGAGTTACTTCTTCAGCCAACTTTGTAGTCAGGTCTTGTGTACTGAACTGCAAAGTAAAAGAAGCCTGTGTCCCCCCCTTAAGGAATGGTTTCACAGCCCGGCACTGGGTAACAGCTCCAAAAAACAGAGAAAATACCCTGTACTCATAGCCAGGGTGCCTTGGCCATGCGTGAACTGATGCTGATGACATTCACATGTAGCTGAGATGCCTGAGTGGCTTAAGATGCTCTGAGGGTCTGTGTAGAAGAAGAAAAAGCTGCAGGATGCAAGAGGGACATAGACACATTTCAACACTGACGGACAAATACTTTAGTGTTTTTTCTCTCTGCTCAGGGCGTTGAGTGAGAACTTGACAGCAGTATGCACGCAATGAGTGGGCTTGGTGATGCCGGGTGGGGGTGAGACACATATTTGGGTTTTAATGTCTGAGTTCAGTTATTTTTCGAACCACTTTGAAACACTGTAATTATCTTATTTTCAGCCCATGTTAAGTATGGATGTGAGGTTGTTGAAAAACATTTCAGGAAGTCAAAACACTTCTTCATGTTCAGTCAAAGAGAAGCTATCTGACAATTATGATCTCCAGTTTAATTAGAGGTGAAAAATCCCCAATGCGAGCTAAAGCACATTAGACTCTTTTAGACGTCGGCAATGACGGAAACACAGCAATTATTGAATGCCTGCATGACGACAGCAGTGGTCACACTTGAAATATTTACACTCTTTGTTTTCAGAGTGAGTCTTCCCACATTATCCAACTATTATAGTTGACATATGAGGATTTCTGGCCTAAAATGTTGATATTTAATGAAAAACATCGATAATCAGGAGGATAATATGCCTTTTATAAATTATATTGATACCGGAAAGCATTCATGTCTTTATTAAAACACTGATTGGATCATATTCTCAATATCTAAAAATACATTGAGACTCTGAGAAAGACACAGTGCATCGAAACGGTAGTCCTTTGCACCTAAACTGATTTGTGTGCTCCAGTACCTTCTTTGGATCCTGTCTGAGAGAAGGAGTCCACTGAATGATTTTGGACGGCTAAGGCCCTTCTCTGAGAGCACCCACTTCCATTTGTGGAGAGTTTCTTTCTACCATCCAAAAATACACATTTAGAGGAAGAGATAAGCATTATATTAAAATAAATAAGTAAAATTTAGGTTTTGTACAGAAGAAAAACAGAATTAGATCCAACTAAGGCGCCAAATTGTGTTAAGATTATACTGTTTCTAGGGCGCTGGTAGCGTGGTGGTTAGTGTGCGCAGCCCATGTGCCAATACTGTAGTTCTCTTAGCGGAAGTGGGATAGAGGGAGATGCAGGAAGAAAGATAGAGACAAACAGAGAAACAACAACAACAATGAATATGATAGATTTATAGCTTTAATGTCAGTAATAATGGTAAAAGTAGGAGTAGGATTAGCTACTAGCTGCTGTATGATAATAGACCGATCAGTCTAACTTTAACGTTAGCAACTGTAGTGATGATGTAACAGGGAGGACTATACAAAATCAGGAGGAGATATGTTGCATTACATCTCTCATTGATGACGGAAAATCATGATGATGATTAATAAGTGGAAAAGATCTGAATTAATAGAGTAAATGTAATTATAAAGGACACTCCATGTTTGTTTGTTCTCTCTGAAACAGTGAATGAGTGGAGAAAGGCTTTCCGACAGCCTCGGGCAATTGTTGATGCTCCACTGGCTCTTGGTTAAGTTCTGTTGTCTCGGTTTCTTGGCAGAGCACACCATTGACAATTATTTTAACTGTGTTTTCATGCCAGCTTTCTGTTACTACTAGTAAACAAGAACAATACCAGCTACCTGTGTTGATTTTGTTCAAGTTTGAAATCACTTATTGTGTAACGTGTGTAACTTGTGTCTCCACAGGCCTAACAGGCACTTGATACTAATTCTGATAAGTTTTTTGTCACGTTGTCCCCTCAGTTATCTTTTCAGTGAACCCCATGACCAAAACCCACTCATTCTTCAGTTGAGTTAAGTCTGAAAGAAACCATCCAATTTGTTGTCCTTCCATAAAGCTATAATAAATACACTAAAGACATTACGTTCATCAATGAGTCATAGTACCCAACTGTGAAAATTGACAGGAAATGCAACTGAAACTGACTTTATTCTTTTTATATTGATCCCAGAATGCTAAAGTAGATACAGTGATGCTGTTTTCCCCTCATTATAATATACTTAGGAACTATCTGATCTTCTTCCACTTTGGCATGGCATTAAAGAGGATGAAATGAGAGCAGTAGATGGGGCAAGATAACAATTTGCTCCAATAAAACATTCACTCTTGCTGCTTCTTTCTTTTAAAAAAAAACCTCCGCAATCTTTGGCTGATTGTGCATGAGAGCTTCTCTTTTAAAATCGCAGGAGACAGACAAAGGATCAGATATGTAAGAGACAACACACTCCGGGCCGCCTCCTGCAGAAAGCCTGTGTTGTCCATGTGTGTTGCACACTGAAGCCCACAGTGCCATCAGGCTCTCAAAAGAGGAACTGCTACCTCAAATCCACTCCAGAATCAGGATCTGATTTTTATTTCTGTATATTTGCAAGCCGACTGGTGGGGGAATATTTGCATTTTGCAAGGGTAATGAGAGCTTATATTGTTTTAATTCATCCCCAGAGAATGTTTTGAAAGGCGCCCTTTGCGCGTGTGTCCTTGTGCGTAAACATTTTGCGCACAGGGGAGGTTGAAATCTGGACAGATGAATCCGGACAGATAAGGCTGGTTAACAAAACTGCCACACAGTCTAAATAAAAGGGCTGCAAATGAACAGACTGCATGCGTGCAGTGATCAAACGTATACAGGCGAACATCCCCACACACGCAGTTACTCACATACTTCTACCACACACACACTTTAGTAGGACACCGGGCAGAGTGTGTTCCGCCGATCATCTCCGTCCCTCCCTCCTCCAGCAGGCGGATTGCCTGTGCCACTGACGACAGCCAGCAGTCACACACACACACACACACACACACACACACACACACACACACACACACACACACACACACACACACACACACACACAGACAGACACACTGCCGTGCTGTGTGAGTGTGTGGCTGTGTGGAGAGACTGCATCAAGGAGAGAGAACTGTGCGCGCTCGCATCGGGAGCGGTGCGTGGGAGTTGTTCTCTCTCTCTCTCTCTCTCTCTCTCTCTCTCTTCTCTACCTGCCATTTGCATTCCTTCTTTATCTCCACACTCATCCACGGACGAGTTCGGGCGCACAGGGAGTCCCATTAAACCCAGGGAGGATCGCGCTGTGTCTCTGCTAGGTGCGCGTGTGTTAAAGTGTGTGTGTGTGTGTGTGGGTTGCCTGTTTTAACTACAGCTGGCATCTTTAAAGCCGCGGTGCTGCCGCGGTGGAGAAACTCATTAGGAATCTGCAAGGAAACGGCTGGCTGCTGTCTTTCTTCCTCCCCTTTCTTCGTTCTCCCGTTTTTCTGAGAGCTGTCTTTCAAGGCGATGGACTTGAGATAGTGCGTCTCAATTTGAGTGTTGGTGACTGGGAGTTGCCGTCGGGGAGAAATGCGAAAGGATGCTTGGATTCAGTGAAGCCTACAGCAGGTGAGTATCCGATGAAAAGCGACAAAATGAGGATCTTTTAACGCAAATACGGTTTTTGGGGAATATTCTGTGTGTTCTTGGTTCGATGCAGTTTAATGTGGGCTATAAGGCCAATATTTTAGAGGGATGGATTTTCCAGAATGCAGCTAAACCTCGGGTCTCTCTGGGCTACTTTGAAGAAAACATCCCTCAAATATGTGGATTCTAGTGCGCCAGTGGCGACATCAGCGCACTCCAGAGGCTTTCCTAAAACTCCTCGGATCTCATGTCGATGTCAAATCCGTTAATATATTACGATGATTATAGGGCACAAGCGGTTGACAGGACAGCGAAGAAAGGGAAGGGGGGCGGGGTGTGGGGGGGGGGGGAGATCTGGAGTGTGGTTAGGCGCGTCCTCTGCAGGTAAAAGACGCGTCTAATCCACTCAGTTTGGAAATTTAATTTATAGATTTGTTATCCGTACACATACTCGACAGAGTAATCTCCTTTTCTGGTAATTTCTCTGCGTATGTGTGCCTGTCTGGGAGGACGGAGGCTTAAGCCATTAATCAAATGTAATTGTCCCGCGAATGTGAGTGTGTGTATGTGTGTGTGTGTGTGTGTGTGTGTGTGTGTGTGAGAGAGAGAGAGAGAGAGAGAGAGAGAGAGAGTGATGAGTGTGTGTGTGGGGGAAAATGTTATCTTAATCTAGCCTTTCTTTGGCCACTGCTAAGAAAACATTTCTCTATGTGGGCAAGTGTGAAGCAGTCGTGATCCTGCCCATATGCCATTTGATTCATCTGCAAAGATGGCTATCTGTTAAATGGGCACAGGATGAAAAAGCAGAACAGGCTACTGCTGCAACGGACTCCTGCGTTTTTTATTGATCCTCAGGAGCCACTTTTGGATTTTTTTGGGTTGGTTTTCAACAACACAACAGTCCATGGGATCTATATATAGCTCAGAGTGCGACTACACAGGATGCAGGATTGGAAGTTGTGTGTTGATGCTGCCACACGCCTTCTGTTGTTTGTTATTCAAGGCAGCATATGCAGAGAATATAGGCTATGACAGTCACCCCCCCCCCCCAACCCCATCAAATTGTCACCCTCTTGCACTGCCTCTTCTAATGACACACCAAAGAACAGTGTGCGGCAGAGTATCAGAAGACTGTGTGATGCTGAGCCTGCGGACATTCATAAAGTGCTGTAGCTCTATTGGTTATAAATAGCCGGAGGGAGCGGACTGCCAGATAGAGCAGGAGCAAGCCTCAGCACAGCCCTCTCTGCCTTTATCTGGGTTCACAATCCGGCATGATAGATGGCTGATACACTCTGCGATATCACACAGACACACGGGCAAGGGTGTGGCAAAAAAAGGTCTCCGTAGGTGCAATACAGCTTTATCTGAGTTCATCTATTCTCTCAGAGTGGTATGTGCTCTGAAATAGCTTTAGTTTCCTCCCCGTGCTTTGGCCTCTATAGTGTGTTTCTGGCACTCAATAGTGACATCCCAGTGACCTTGTAACACCAAATGTGTTTCTTTAATATCTTTGGATTCTTTTAGAAAACTCACAGGCTGGAAAATCCAGTATTCAGTGGTTTTGTACTCTTGATTCTCCTTTCATCATTGGTGGGGATACTGCTGACTCAATCATGGCTGCCTCGCAACAGCTAAGACGCTGCCCGAGTGTGTGATCCGCTTTGTCCAGACGACCTGGCTGCCTTCATTAAACAAATGTGCGGGCCGCTGACCTTGGCAATCTCCCAGTTGTCGATAGGATTCACCTCTCTAACCCTGCAATAGGCTTTAGGACACATGTAACAAAGACCCACTCCCTCAATCCCCCCTCCCTCCTCTCCTCCAACATTATGCTGCTGTTGACATGCTATATTGAATTACAAGAAGTTGATCAATGTTTGCAATAAGCTGAACCTCAGTATGCTGGCTGCTGCGATTATACAGAGTATCCAGTGTCATGAGAAAAATAGCGCTCCTCATAACAGCATTATGTCTTTTTTTTGAAGTATGGTATCATTTGGTGGGTTTGTACTTTACTCTCATGTAGGAAAAAAAAAAAAAAAACGAGAGCAGAGAGCATTTGAATCATTGGTGAAAGAGATCATCTTCAGCACGGATTCGTCAGCATGTAGCGAGGCAGAGGAGCAGTCGAGACGGAGTGGGTGGTGAAGGTGTGGACCGTGATGTCAGCAGCGTGATGACTGACCCGCCTTCTCACAACGCACTAAATGACCAACAGTGTTAGTGAGCGGGCTAATGCTGGCTTATGACGTGCTGCAGCGTCTCTTAGAGACATTCATCCTTGGTGTAAAACTGACACCTTCTGCATCGACAAGGTGTTTATTAGCTCCCAGTTGTGAGGTCACCATGCCTACTCCATGTTAGAGTGACACTGTGAGGCGTTTTCACCCGGGACGGCAATTATGTTGTTTTCATAAGTCCGGGCCTGTCAGTCCACTTGACGCCACTGCCTCGATACGTCGACGCCTGAGGCTGCATGGCATGTTTATAAAGAAGCCTGCGGTGGTATCATAGCGGCTGTCTGATGAGTGGGGGAGTGGGGGTGTCAATGTTGTCCTTGGTGGATGTCTTTAGAGGAAGATAAGCAGGAAGAGCGGATGCACATGCTGTCTGAAAGTCTTAAGAATTGTTGGTCTTTTGTGACAAAGGCGTAGCACTGCATTCCCCCCTTAAAGATGTTGTGTAGAAGACAATGTGGCACTAAAAGCATCAAAAAAACATGTATTTCACTAATTTCCCCTTTGATCAAAATTCCAAATATTACTAGAGTCACACTTTGTTATTGTATGTTTTTAACAAAGCAGCTGATTGTCATGCCTGTTATTAGTTTTTCACATATGTAATCTATTATTGAAAACCAGAGATTGTATATAAGAAGTGAAAAAAGCCTTTGATTAACCAAATGTGGAAATGCCAAGAAGCTGCATTCTTCTTATAGCCAGCAGGGGGGTGACTCCTCTGGAAACAAAAGATGGATTCCTATTTTTAAAACAAATAAAATGGTCAATTTAGCCTACCGTTCAGCTGACTTGTTACAACATTTTAACCCTTTCCTAATAAGTCTATGGAATCAATCGCTTGTTTCAAGTCTATTTCATTACAGCATGATGTTATTTCTAAGGGTAATGGTCCCATGAAGACGGAAATCAAGGACAAAGCAGGGAATGCTTGAAGGCATTCCTACTGACAAGATAGACACTGCCAAGCTGGCCTCTCATCGCTGATAGAGGAGTAGCAATGTTTATCCAATCTATCATCTCATGGTGGGCATTTTTGGCTCCAGAAAATCAAGACGTCAAGAACCAAATTGTTAAACTCCGATGCTCTCAGATCCAAACAATTCATCCTGCTATAACAAAGCTTTGTTTAATATATTTGCATTCAGTCACGTTCCCATATGAGGGAACCCTGCTGTGATTACTCACATTTATGCATGTAACCCATTTGTTGATCTCCACTTTACCTTCATTAGAGTGATAGTGGCTTCCACTGATTCATTTGTGGAATCAAATTTGTTGAAGTGTGAATGCATTGGCCTTAATCTTTTGCTGTCGGACACATTACCATAATTATTGTATATGCTAATCCAGAATTTATTCAAATTGGTAACCTTGTGTTTATCCCATCCATGATACCGGTCTCAAAGCTGGTTCCCTATATATGGGCAAAGCTGCCTGCCAGTAAATGTAATGTACTGCTACAGATAGATCCATATTATAAAGTGGCAGAAAAAAATAGAAAGGATCTCTGAAAGGTACATCTGTGATTATAGCTTCATTACTGTATGAATGAATCCTTCTTTGAAATGTCATTGAACAGTACAGCCTTGTTAGAGGCATGTCAGAGGCACGTATAAATGCCAGGCATTCACATTAGCCTGTAGGGTCCATTCACCTTTAAAGGATCCGTGTTAGAAAAGCTGACACCGAGTGCAGTTAATTCTGATCAGCCTCGCAGTGTTGTGAAAAATGTCTTTAGAGCGTTTTTTTTTTTTTCTTTTTTGCAAAGGTGCCTTGAGAAACTGATTTCACCTTGTGTGTTTGTGTGAAAAGGAGTCCATAAAGAAAAGCTGGATTACCACATTTTCAAATGGCAACCGGCAGGCAGCAGAATTGGATCATTGGCTAAAGAATGCAAAGAGGACTGTTGCGGCCCCCACAAGCCTTGACCCTATGCAGTCTGCATGCAAATGGAGCATCCATATAGATTTTATTCTAATAATGCATGACCACTGACAGAATTTTGATGAGCCCTTGAATATGCTTTTAATACAATTACCTTACACATTATTTGCATTAAATACATGCAAACTAATCAAAGCAAGAGTTGAGGTGACATCCTGCTATAAACCAGCTTGAGTATCTCTGAGTATAGATCATTAAAAAAAAAGCTTTAATGGTGGATGAGGTTGGGGGTCAGCAACCCTCTGAAGAGGACATTTGTATTCACTGCATCTAGGGACTAATCAGTCCAATGATGGTTCCCCTGTTGCCGGGCAGACTTAAACGTGGACACCCATCTTTTAGATGATTGTGTGAATGACACTTATATCACCCTACTAAGCTGCTAGTGGGCCGTAAACCCCATTTCCTGAGGCAGCGGATGGCCTCAGACTGGCAGCTGGGGATAGAAGAGTAGAGCTAAAACATCTGCACAGAGATGCTTGAGGAAGTAGGAAAAGGCATCCTTTAATTCCCTGTCTATGTTTCCTATCAATACCCATAAAGTCCTGCCATTAACACACAGATTAGTCAGATATTGTGGCTATACTTCAGGTGTATAACCAAAAACTTCACAACAACTGACAAACCAAATTGTGATATTTTTGGATGTGGATTCCATTGACATTGTTATTTACAATGTGCTCCCTTCCCAATCCATCTGTAGACAATACATATTATTGTCTCCTTTGATAACTGCGCATGGATTTATAACCAGAGACTGAATAAATTGTTTTGCGCCGGTGATGATTAGTATTG